CGGTAAAACACTATATGTGGTTATATGAAGAATACGACGTTTGAGACTCCACCAGAATTGCATCGGTGAAGCGGCGTAGACTGAGCTGAGTTGTATCTGGTTTCGTCGAGACAAATATCCAGACAACATGTCGGTGCGTGAAAATCATGATCTCTGTGTAACCAGACCTTACCTAACTGTTAACCACCATCATTATTTGCATACACTGGACAAATATATACACAATCTTAGGATAAAGATGTGCATATTTGGAAGTAGCTGAGACCATTTCGAACAGCTTGCTCCGATGTTGTGCATATTTGCCATCCCAGTGGCCTTTATGCCGTTCACTGTTGGCTAACCCTGAGAAGAGTTGGAAAAAATGAGGGAATTATAATTGACTCATGTTCAAAGTAAAACTCCGCCACAGCATCATGCTATTTCTGAAAGATCATTCATCCCAGTGACTTGAAACATCAGAGATGGCTCAGAATGACAGTCACATACAGTTTGTTTGATTTCATTAGTATTAAATGTAACTTTAAGCGAAGGATGCTTCCTTGTGCGTCGGTGGCACAGTGGTTAGGACTCTCACCGATCATGCACATGGTCAGGGTTTCAATCCTTAACCGACGCACACCTGATATCAATGGTCGGCCTGCAAAATTTAGGCTACCGATATCACACGCTGAAAGTTCCATACTTGTGCCAAAAATACGGTTTGGAATCAAGCTGTAATCAAAAAAATTTTTTCATGGAGGCAGACACCATAACGATACTAATTTTCTCCAATTAAATAAATCTCGTAATTGTTGCCAGGTAATTTAGCATCACGCAATTCTTCACACTATTACGTACTCGTCGCCAAATTATTGTTATGTACTGGTCGAGAATTTAATAGTCCTGACGCAAGAAAGACGGAAATCAGAAGACCACTAGGTTTGCGATGATACTTCTATTTTTCAAACACAAGGAGAATCAATGTCACACAAGTGTGTGAGAGCAAAATATATGAATGTCCGAAAGTGTGTGAGCGAATATTCAAAATGATCAAATCAATAGACAGTCTTAACATGATTGGCTAATTATAATGGAATATTGATCCATATATACCTAGCAAATATAACAGACTGTCAAACAAAATACACATATTATATGGATATATATCACACACCAACACTGCACCATTTCTAAAAATGAGTATTAGTATTCGTAAAATACTTCCACTATGAGTCTGAGTGTGCTGAAGACTATTTGAGCTACTCTGTCCGTTCGGTCGACTAAACATGAATATCAAAACCATCTAGTCTGAAGAAGCTCTACAGATTTCTTTCGTCTAAGACTTAATTTTTAACTATGCTTGTAGAACTGTTTAAATTCATCACTTCTCCTCCCCTTTCCCTTATAATGAGAAAGTCACCACTTTACGGGTAGAAAACTAGAAATATGTGTACAGGGGATCTCGTTCAACCCGCTTGTTAATTAATGGTCATTTTTAATCTCTCTTTTCAGATTTCTTCTCAAATATTGTTTCATTACTTTTTATGCCCACGGTAAGCCCACTTTATCGTTTCGAAAATAATCTCACACACCACGACGCAACCATATTTCCAGGCCTGTGTAACTTCGATTTCCAAGCTCTTTTAGATTAACCTTCACTTATGATACGATGTTGTAAAAATTATTTTTCGTATTTGTTGTCACATTTATCATTCTGTTCAGTTAAATAATACCTATACATATTTTACAGAAATAAAAACAAAAGTCCCTATTCTACAGCTAGTGATAATGATATCGACAAAAAATAACTTCCAACCTTTTTAATTTCTCTCTATTATAATTTTTATTATTAGTATTATTTGTTCCTTGAGTCCCGAGTGGAATACAGAGCTTCATCAACAAATCTGTATTGTACTGTGTCGTCATTTCCACCTGGCTCCACTAATGACCATAAGTTTCCGTTTCCTCTTGACATGAATTTGGTTTCATCCTCCGGTGCCCAACTCTTCGATTTCCATTATTACTCTAGGGGCTATGGTGTGATGTCATTTCAAGCTTTCCTCAATAAATATTCAATCCAGCTTCATTTTACCTTACATATTCCTTAGGTAATAGTTTGTTGGCTGGTTTAATGAGCTCCGACACAATTCCTTGTCGCTCGCTTATCCTTCATGCCCTGTTATCTGATCTTCAGCATTCAGTAACGAAGGCAGGTGTTGATGAAAGTCTTCAGCCTGTTGAACATATATATTTTTCCTGACGTGTTAACCAAGTCTCTCAACAATATTTACGCACTGAATCGACATTACTGTTGAGAATTACGATCTTTTTCTTTATGCTGAGTGTTGGTGGGTGTGCATACTGATTTCAGAATACTGAAGGTCTATCTTGCTTTACCGATCCTAGCTTTGATCATCCTCATCAGAACTGCTTAGGTGCGTGAAACAAATGAATTCTTCTGAAAATTTTAAGATCATAGGGTGCCTCTCCATATAAATCTTTCTTGTCAACAATGAGAAGTCGACAATTAGATAGTGGAATGGTTGGATGTGTCGATCACTTTATCTACTCATAAGTGAAACGACCGTAAGTCTGGTGCCTACAAAATTTAAAAAAATTTTAGTCTCAAACTATTATTACCTGCTTGCATTGTTAACACTAGAAGCAGAACCTTTCAAATACCTGCAATCTGGTGTTGGATCATTCTGGTTGAGTATTGAGTACAGGTTTAGTTAAGCAATATTCAGAAATCAAAGTCCTTTTTACTCTTAACTTTAATGGATTTTAGAATTCGCCTGACCGCATATCTTCAGCTTCACAGTCGATTTAAAAAGAGAAGATCGGGACACAGTGTCAAATAATGGACGCTGTAGACTAATAATTTTGAAGAAATATTTATCAATACATATCCAAACGGGAAAAACAGAATAATTCACCAAATCGAACGTAGCCTTTCTGACAACAAGCACACAAGTCAAAATGTAACAGCCGAAGGCAAGACACGGAAGCCATGGTGTATTTTTCATTAATCAAACCGCTGTTTATATCTATGCAGTTTATATTCTTTAACCAATCACTGAGCGTGTGATTTTGACCTACATTTAACGACATGAAATAGAATGTTCAAATATATATATATATATATTATTATTATTATTATTTGTTATTATTATTATATCCTTTAATTCCTGGAGGAACATAGGGCTTCAGCTGCGCGTCTCCACTGCCTTCTGTTTTCTGCCAACTTTTTCACTCCGTTCCAAGTCTGCCCATATGCTTTCATCTCCTCCTCACAGGACCTCCTCCAAGTCACCCTCACACTGACGACCAACTTGCCGCTTCCCTTTCGGGTTCCACTCGAGCAATGGCTTGTCTAGTGATGTCACTTGATGGTTTACTCAGTGTATGGCCAATCCATCTCCATTTCTTCCTGCCTATTTGTTCCACAATCGATTCCTGCTGTGTTAGTTCGCTCATTGACAGAGATTCCTGTTGCTAATCTTTTCTGACCATCTGATCTTGAGTAGTGTTAAGCGAAGACAGTTGTTGATGAAGGTCTGTAGTTTGTTTGATGTGCTCTTTATGACGCGTAGTGCAAGTCTCTGATCCGTATGGTAGCACTGACTTTACACTGGAGTTGAAAATCCGGATGTTATTTTTAATGCTGAGTGCTGTTGACCTCCACACAGACTTAAGAGTAATGAAAGCCTGTCTTGCTTTTCCGATTCTGGCTTTGATATCCTCGTAAGTTTCGCCTGTATTTGAAACGATGCTTTCTAGGTAAGCAGGTAAAGGACGTTGTTTCTTTCAGGTTCCTCCCATTCATGCTGATTATATATATATATATATATATATATATATATATATATAGTGTTCCTGTTGCTAATACAGTATTCAACTGTGGGAATATGTGAGAATAATATTCCATTGGAACACATTATCTTTATCATACCATCACAAAATCAGTTAATCAAGTCATAAAAGTCCACCAAAATACAAATGCTGGCGATCTCTATAACCGAGAGAAAAGCTGTAGCAATAAGTACGTGATTACACCGTGGAATGGAATATAGCGACAATTCTAAAATATGCAATAAAGCCAGCAGTCTAAAAACAAAAGTATGCTCAGCTTAGTGAGTGGTTGATTTCATTTTGACTGTCACGAACAATCTTTGACAGTGTTTCTCATATTTTTATTTCGAATCTGTTTTTATTATTTTTTTTTGTGTGTGTGTAAAACTTAGAGCATTTCCGACTTTCAAATGATTACATTTTCCCAGTCTGTCGAACCGACCTATACTTTTGATATTTTCATTATTTTTCAGAGTCGAGTAAATGACCGCCAGACATTTGACAGGAACAAATAAAGCCCTTTCTACCGAACTGTCATACATTCCAAAAGTACAAAAAATCCATTTTTACTCGTGATTTATTAGTATTACTCAAGATCAAATAAAAACCGTATAAATGTTTTCTGTTTGATTGGCGACTGTTCATTACAGTTTAAAAACGAAAGCATACTGCAAACTATGAGATGAGAGAAAAAATATTTCTTTTTTCCACAGCCTTCATTACCATTGGTTCATTGAATGCCTAAATTTCACGAATAGAGTAGTCCTACTGTGTGTTTTCTTTTTTTTTTTTTAAATCTGGGCTTTCGTATTTAATTTCTAGAATTCGATTCAGACATACGATTGATTGTATTTTAGATAATGATTGCTTACTATCTTTTAGTTGTATAGTTTAGTCAGAATGACGGTGGTTATAAAGATTTTTCTAGTATTTAGGTGAGAAGGTAAAAGTTAACTAGTCCAGTTTAAATGACCAATCAAATCGTTGAAAATTTAAATCCTTGTTGGGATTTGTTAACTAAAAGAGAAAGATAGTCTTCTTTATTATTGGTTATTTCGCTTATTCTTAGAAGTTAGTAGAGATAAATATGAACTTCATTGTCTCATGAATTTTAGATACATTATTTTAACCATTTTTCAATCAGTCACAGCATACAATACGTTTTCAGCATGAACATTCAATTACTTATTTATCGTCTTATTTTAATTACGGCTTATATCTCCTACAATGGATGTGCAGTTGTAGAGACAAGTTCAATCAGAGATGAAATAGTCGAAACTCTATTTGCTAATTATCAAAGTCATGTTCGTCCTGGAGAACTTATTCAGAATACAACAGTGGTTACAATTTACATATCTGTATCCGCTATAACATCTGTGGATGTACGCAATATGGAATACACTATTGATATGTTACTTCGTCAGACATGGTATGATCCAAGGTTAGCCTGGGATCAAATAGATAAATTTAAACACTATACAAAAAACATCGTCTCCCCAGTATTCAAAGAAAAAATATGGCTTCCAGATTTATTTTTTCGAAATGGAAAGGAAGGCAGATTGCATACAATGACTTGTGAGAACTTACTGATACGCATACAACCGAACGGTGAAATATTGTACAGTCAGAAGATTACAATGCGTATGGCTTGTCAAATGGAATTACGAACATTTCCCATGGATACTCAAGAATGTTATATGGATATTGGAAGTTATGGATACACACTAGAGCAGATCAGTTTTGTGTGGCGAAACGAATCCCCTGTGGATTTGAATAAAGATTTACAGATATCAGAATTTGATCCGCCTCAGGCAGTGAGAGCTTACGATTGTACAAGTGGGTATGCAACGTCAACAGGACAGTACACATGTTTGAATGCCACATTCACACTACAACGGCAGTTAGGCTACTGGTTGGCGAGCACTTACATACCTAACATTCTTATTATGGTCGTATCATGGCTAAACTTTTGGGTCAGCTTGGAGGCTATACCAGCCAGAGTTAACTTGAGTTTGCTAACGCTTCTCGGTGTGATCACCCAGTCGACAAGTTATGCCAGCTCCCTTCCAAGAGTATCATACATAAAAGCAATCGATATTTGGACAATCGCCTGCATAACTTTTAATTCTGGTGTCTTACTCGAATTCGCCATAGCTTCTCACCTAGCCAGACGACAAAAAGTTTCCGAGTGGCAAGTAGAAATAAGAAAGTTGGTTAGACGAGAGCTAGCCAGATGGTGTTCAGCTTGCCAACTGCAGTATGCACAAAGAGGACCATCTGCACTCTCCGCCTACTCATCAAATAGGTCGAATGATAAAGTTTCTGACTACATCAATTCAGTAGCAGCTGTTGCATTTGCAATTCAAAATAGTCCTGCAATAGAAAGAACTAGCCCTCAAATGTCAGTTCGTTTGACCAAATCAGGTCTGTTGTCAACCACTGCTATGAAATCAGGGAAAACAGACAAAATGTCAAAGAACACTTTCTATGAATTGGTTGCCAATGATTCAGCACTCACATCTTTGGATACAACACAAAAAGAAGCACTTTTACCACCAAGTGAACCTCAACGGGTCAAGAAACCGGCTTCAATGTCAAAAATAGACAGTTATAGTCGATTTCTTTTCCCAGCGTGCTTCCTATTGTACAACTGTTTTTATTGGCTATATTATCTAGTCGTTATGAAACACAAATAAATAAAAAAAAAAAGCAAAACTCACATGCTGATCAATAATTTATGTTTAACAGTCAAGCTGTTCATTAATTACCTCATAACAATTTCTTAAGTAAAAAAATGTGATGGGATTTATATGTGTGCGCTTGCGTGTGTGTGTGTGTGTGTATGACGAAGGCGCTGTACACTTCAAGTATTTCAACTGCTTATCTTTTGCTCAATTGTTTGTTTCACAACGAACAAAAGGTAACTGAATTTCTCATTATTACACTTTCAATCTTTATTATTTGTATACACTCTGTTTAATTACCCAGTAGTGATGATTATATATATATATATATATATATATATATATATATATATATATATATACGCTATTGTGAAACATTTATTTATCAATGTTTTGTTTTTTCTATTAGTCTGCTTTTCATTTTTGATAGTTGTTATATCAAGAATAACAGTCATCATTATAATAAGGATTATAATTATGCTAACATAATAATAATAAACTGTATAGAAAATTCAAATTGAAGCCTGATCATTGTGTGCGAATAAATACTCATTAAAACTACACTATCAATAATAATAATAATAACAACAATTTGATAAATATCTGGATGCATAAATGTTTTCAAGGAAATTATGGTCTTGTAACTTCGTTTACTTTTTAACTTGCAGGAAGCGAGAGTTGTGACACATAAATAGCAAATAATAGCTGGTAAACTAAAGGATTTTCTCTTTACAAGTCATTCATTTACTTCGAGATAAGGGAGAAGATTTGTAGCTCAAGTGAATGGCATTGAATTAGTTGTTGTTCTCTAAGCTTTCGTCGTCCTTCTAGACAACATCTCTTGAACAACTCAATTTGATTGGGATAATATAGAAGTTTTAAACAGGCGAAACACCAGACAGTAATGCCAGGGAATTCTTAGAAGTCTGGTACTCAAGTGAATTGGTAATTAACAAACATATTTATTATTGATCAAATTTACCAGCTAATAAAAAGTGAATCACATGACAAGAAAGTTAGAATTCCAGGTCGATAAAAGTGATTAATAAGGAGGGAAATTAACATCCAGTCACGACAGTGGTTGCCAGGATATACAACTACATCATTCATGGAGAATTTAAATAAGTTCATTCTTTTTAACTAAAACTTGAGCTAAAAATGTTGTCTAGAAGAAGGATGAAGGCTTCTCAATTAAATTAACCAGATCGAGGAACACAAGTAATTCAACATTTATATACTTAATAAAATGAAATGTTGTGCAATCACATTGCTTCCTAATGAAAACCCTGACGCTGGAAGTATCTCAAACATATAAAATGAAATCTATACATTCAGTTGTATAGATAGGTGACGCTCAACCGAGACTTCCCATTCCCCCTTTTGCCTCAAGGTTCCACTGACAAGCCAAGCTTCAAGACTGGTGACACCATATGTGAATAGAACAAGTTAGATGTAAGGTGCTCCAACGTTTCATAGTAGTGACTTAAGTAACACTGATACAAACAAGTTAAAAATACATAAACAAACTGGAGGTGATTGACTGCGTTTTCAAAGTTGAAATTTGCATAGAAGTGAATCAGTCCCCATTTCCACACACCAAAGAGAACACGAGAATTGAGAAGAAAATTCGAGTGCACTAGAATGAATGGGAAGAGGAAAAATAAATTAAGTGGAAAAAAGGATCAGTTTTTTTTTAAATTTTTCTATAATTTGAGTCTTGAGAAAAAGACGTAAACAGTGAAGAAAATTTTCTTTTCGACGATTCATTTTCATATGCTGTACTATCGCAATTATATTTAACAAAGAAATCATAAGACCAATCAGATACTGGTAAAATTTGTTCTCGAAAATGTATTTCTTAATGTAAGCTATTATCTAGAAGGGGTGACTAATCGGAGATTGGAAAAGGGGAAGAGGTTGAGATGATGTAACAAGTGTGAGAAAATGACTAATCATTATAACTGTGTGGAGTGGACAAGAACTAGTGGAAAGTCGATAAAGTGTTCTTATAAAATCTGTATGAAAACGCAGTGTTCTTAATAAACAGTAGTATAGTTAAAATAAAATAAGGATGATGAGATTGATCATACTAACAGTAAAATAACATAGTAAAAGGAAGCAAAATTATAGTAAGAACTTTACTCTGGCCACATTAGGGCGAGAGAATGTATGTATCGTTTTTGAATGCAGAAGTCCAGTTTCCGACCTCGGATGGCTAATGCTTCAGCTATGTACAGATGGCGTATGCGAAGTCCCTTTATACAATATTGAGAGACTCTGTGTAGCACTGTGAAGCATTCATGTGGGGATGCTCGATGTCCAGAGTTGACAAGGTGTTCGAAGGTAGAACTGCTACTATTCTTCTTTTCTCCTCTGACTGGCTAACCAAGCTGGACAGTGTCCCAGAATACGTTTGTGAACTTGATGTTGAGTACGGCCGATATATTTTGCTCCACACGAACAAGTAAACTGATAAATACAAATTGAGGTGGCCAAAAGCGGAATCTTATCCTTGAAATTAGACTGGATAAATTGTCTACTGGAAAATGTGATGCTTAAGGTGGCTGGTTGAAATGTCTTTAAAAGATATTCAGATAGGCGGTTTCTAGGAATTTCTGCTTCGATGTCACTTTTGAATTCCCGGTTCATGAAGAGAGTTTTCTTAGGAACAGTCCTGATTTTCGGTGACAGAGAATTTACCTTCATGTTTTTACCGATGAATCTCCGTTCTCTAGTAGAGTTTCACTTAATGAATACAATTTATCCTCTATCGTGTCTTTCGAAGAGATTTTTCTAATCCTTGAACATAATGTACGTGGTAAGTTTTGCTTTCGGATCAATGGGACGAAGCTATGGAAGTTGATAAACAATCCTGTCAGTGTTGATTTGCGATGTATTGACATTTGGATTGTACAGTCTTCTCTTCTGGTAAATGGTACATACAGGAATGGAAATGGCATGTTTGATCCACGTTGTAAGATGAATTCTATTGATGGGTGTGTCGCGTTCAAGGTTTGGAGGAAATAGTGTAAATCATATTTTACATCACAAATTATCAATGAATCATCTACGTATCTCCTGTTTAAGTGCAGTTGACTTATCAAAGTATCGAGGATGTTTCATTATGGGTAAATTTTGTTTTGATAAAGTCTCACAGTGTTATACAGTAATGTTTACTGATGACGTTTTGAGCACAATTTATTGCTCATAATCATATCAAGGTAATCACACGACTTCCTAAATTCATTTATATAGTTCCATTGTTTTTCACTTGTTTTGATTGGTAGTAATATTTTCCATATTTCGGGTATGAGTAATGACTCATTCTTATTGTATGTGTTTGGTGTAGACTCGATGAACAAGGATTCAGTAATCAGCCTCTCTCTTCACCTATCTAGATTACTTTTTAGAATTTTAACCCTTTCCCTTTCTAAAAAGTAATCTAGATAGGTGAAGAGAGAGGCTGATTACTGAATCCTTGTTCATCGAGTCTACACCAAACACATACAATAAGAATGAGTCATTACTCATACCCGAAATATGGAAAATATTACTACCAATCAAATCAAGTGAAAAACAATGGAACTATATAAATGAATTTAGGAAGTCGTGTGATTACCTTGATATGATTATGAGCGATAAATTGTGCTCAAAACGTCATCAGTAAACATTACTGTATAACACTGTGAGACTTTATCAAAACAAAATTTACCCATAATGGAATTATACTCTATCACAGTGCACAAGTTTTATTCTTATATCGAGGATGTTGTTTTCGAGACTCACAATGAAACAGTTAGCTAAGAGTGGACCGACAGAAGACCCCATAACTACACAATATTTCTGTACACCTTATAATATCTTAAGTACTCCGCATCGATCAGCATGTTATCCCAATAAGACATACCCCTTATAAACCAATACCGATACATATGTAAAGAAAAAAGTGCATTGGAATTACTCCTAACATTTTCAAAAAATTGACTTACAGTTAAAAACGCTTTCCCAATTAGTCCTTAGATTTGTGAATTTCAATGAACCACTGAACTCTGAATGAGAACAGCCGTTCAGATAAGATTATAAAAATAAAACACAATGATTTACAATAACCGGTCAGGTGAACATGAGAAGAGAATAGCCGTTTGTGGTGAAAAATTTTATACTAACTAACTATGAATGAAAAACTCTTCACAGATATAAACAATAAAAATGATAATCACACACACTAATAGTAGAATGCACTCACTTCCACGCAAATATTGTGCTCCAAAAATACGCGAATATACTCAACCACCACAGAACACAGAAATTTACGAACTTCCGAATGCTAAGAAAGAGAGAGAGAGAGAAGACGAAACAGACATTATTCCACTCATCTCATCAAATGTACTACAGTACTAGTCCGAGTGAATGATTGAGGGAAAATCAAACACAAACACACACCTGCAGAACACACAAAACACTGTAGCGACTCTCATATCACAGGTTAAACTTATTACAACGGAAGGCAGTTTACACCATGCGAAAATAATCAGACACCATACAATGAATATTTCTTCGCTGTATTCCTTCACCATAGCGAAGATGATATTCTCTCACATGTAATTTATTACTGTAGCAAATTCATGTTCATGATGGATGGATACGCAACGATTCTAGAAAGCCTCACATTTTCAAGCTATCACCCTCAACAATCCCCAGCTAGGTAGCTAGCTATTAATTTATTTCATAAAACTTCAAATATCACCACCACCTTCACCTTGTAGTTCTTCTAACACACTTGTATTCACTCGGCGACTTCTTCAGATTAGACAATATCTTATTTCCACTAATCGATATTTCCAGCATAAATAAGTGTTCACTTCCACTATGCAATTCTTTATGCAGAACTGCGCGAGATGAAAGTTATTCGAAACCATTCATGGTGATACCATCTAACTGATTCGACTGGAGTAAAAAGAAAAACTCACTGACGATCCCTTGAAATTGTTTGCATTTCGGTAGTTGTTAAA